CAGCACATTTCCCGCTTATTCTTCGCGGCGTGCTGCGGTTTGATGCCACCGGGGTCTTGTACCACCGATCACCGAGTGACGTGCGTCTCGTGACACGCTTTGCGTCGATGCCGCTGTCGACGCCGTCGTTCTTGCAGCGCGTGTCGTCGGAATCGTAGACTGGGTGGCTGTCGTTTGCAGAGTGTGACAATTACATTCCCGCTGCTCAATTCGTTTAGAGTCCTATCCTTATACATTCGCAGACGATATCTACCACATACGAGTCCGTCCACGAGGAATAGGGTTTGGGTTAGGATATCTCGTTCGATGGACAAAGCTACGGTGGAGGACTCAACGCCTCGTCACCGACGTGACAGCCAGAGCCCACCATTGTGATATTATGCAAGAGGGTGCAACACCCAATCTCGCAGCCCACTGCTTGATGTGTCCCGCCTTTGGGGGCCAAGGGACGATTCCAAAGAGAGCTCTCGAGACAACACTCTGCATTCTACTTGTGGGATACTTGTGTATCAAGTGAATTCATAGTCCAGCTATATGTGACAACACCCTATATGTGACAACACCCTATATGTGACAACACCGTTGAGTCTCCCATGCACTGGGCGCACCCCTACCCCTGGGGTTAGGGGAACACGCGAGGCAGGTGCAGCGCCCCTGTCCAGGTCGACGGTCTCGCGGTCGCTCCCGTTTCGCCAGCACTACGACGGTCCTGACCTTGGAGCATCACGAAGGACATAGGTATCAAATTATATACTCTAGTATCTAGTAAAATGTTGATTCTACGGGGTCTCGCATCCGACGTTTCTACTATGAACGCTTCACTGCGCTATCGTCATCGTGCACATCATACACGTCCGCCCAAGCCGCGCGCGTCTTCGGTGTGGTCTCGGTCAGCGCCTGGTACAAGCGGGTCGTCTCGTGGTCGGCGCCAAAGCAGCAATTTGCCATCTCCAACGCTGCTGCGTACGCTACGCGCGCCTCGTCCACCTTGCCCTGGACGACGAGCGCAGCCGCCAACGCATCATAGTGCTCGATCGTCGTCGGATGCGCATACGGCACAACCGCGTCGACGCACGCTAGAAGCTGCCGACGGACGGCTTCCGCATCGTCGGCATCGTCGCGCAGGGTCGCCGAGAGGTGCGCAAGTGCATCGTAGCACACTCGGTGGGTCCCGTGCAGCGGCGAGGCCGCCACGATCGCCTCAATCTCGGCCAAGTTGGTCGCGGTTTGCAGCGTCGACGCCGTCGCCTCTTCGTGCTCCGTCATGGCCGCCACCTCGTCGACCGTCCAGACGCGGCTGCAGCACGAACACGTCGCCGTGATGGGTATCGTTGTCGCTGGGTAAACGACGCCGTGGCATGCAGGATCGTTGCACTTGTATGTCCGCGCATGATCCGGCACGGCGCCCTTGCACCAGTCGCAGTTGCAAGTGATCTCGTCGGCCGCGAGGGCCGCTGCCCGGTCCGGGTGCGTCCAGTAGTACATGTCGAGCGTGTCAAACGTGAGCGCGTCACCGACTGCAATCGGCGTCATTGCTGTGGCGCGGAGCGTCGTTCCGTCGGCCGCGATGTGGACGTTGGGGATGCACGCGTGGTGCAGTCGCGGGATGTACCGAAAGACACCGCTGCCGTCGATGCTGTTGAGCGCCTGCGCATGGTTGAGCAGTACGCCGAGAAGGTGCGCGAGCTCTGCGTCGGAGATAGTTGGAGGCAGGCTCGAGGGTGGGAGGTGCGATCGGAGGGCGACAGCGGTCGCCATGCAGGCGGGCACGCGGTCCGAGAGCACTGAGAGACGCAGTAGATCGGGCAGCAATGACGCGTCGGATGCGATCGCGTGAAGCAGTTTGACGAGGTTGCTGGCAATGTCGCGTCGCCCGAGGACGTCGGCGTGCGTCGCGCAAAAGGCCATGTACGCGTCAAAGGAGGCAGCGATCGCCGGTGCCATGGTATCGCGCTCGGCCTCTGTAAGCGTCTCAACGTGGTGATGCCCATGGTCATGGTCGCAGTGATCGTGATCGTGGGCATGGTCATGGTTGCAGTGTGCAGGGGCACCGTGGGCATAGTCGCAGTCGTCGTGGCCGTGGAGGTCATTGATCGTACCGTGATGGTGGTGGTCGTGATCACACGTATGAACGTGGCCATGGTCGTGGTCGCACGTGTGGTGGTCATGGTGGCAGTGGTGGCCAAAGCTGGACGCTGCGATGGCCGTCTCGCAGAAGATGACGGCGCCGGGCGCAAAGGCGCTGGTCGCTACGACGCCATGTGCTGTTGTCACCACGTCGGCGGATGGAAAGCTGGGCGAAGACGACGGCGTCGGCGACGTGGCGGCCGTCGAGAGCGCTCGGGTAGGCAGGACGAGGCGTAGCATGCAAGGACGCGCTTGCTGCAAGGCGAGGCACGCAGTGGGCAGCGCTTGTCGAGCGCCATGGCCATCGCCCAGCATGCGGAGGCCATCCACTTGCTGCAGCTGGCGCGCCAGCCGGCGCCGCGCCGCCACCGACGTCCTCTGCACAAGCATGTTGTTGTCCTTGGCTCGTTTGTTCTTGTATCAAATGCAGGTCTTTGTATCAAGGGTGGGGATGGATAAAAACACGCAAATTGCAAGCGCAAAGTGCGCGCTGCGCGGCGAATTATGGGATGCATTTGCGTGATTTTAGACGGTGTTCGTAGGCTTCACACTGATTGACCACAGAACCATTTGCACTACTCTAGCTCGTGTATTGCCACAACACGCATATCCACGCTCCTCCGTAGACGCAAGACACTTTATTTTTACGCCGACGGTGCTGCTGGCAATGCTACGATGGGCTCCAAGAGCGGGGACGGCAA